ATCCATCCATCCATCCATCCATCCATCCATCCATCCATCCATCCATCCATCCATCCATCCATCCATCCATCCATCCATCCATCCATCCATTTCCTTCTTCATCTAATAACAAATACGGTAAGTAAACAAGATATGCCAACAAAGACTTGTTCATGCATTATCAATGGTATGCATTATTTTCATTAAGATACCTTCCTTTTTTCCAATAAAAAGACTTTTGGGTAATATAGATGATCTCATATCTAAATCTCCCAGCTGTGAACAATTCTTTGATCAACAGTGTTACTAAAAAAATATGTTTATCATCTAATTTCTTCTATCTGAATTATCCGAACCAACTCCACATGCAGTAGAAAGTCTGTCAGCGACTGTGTTGCCCCCTGTGATGATTCCGGTTGTTCCCCTTCTCCCACTCAATACCTGTTAGGACTGGTTTAGTAGGCAGATGACCACACTTAATTTGATTTTATTCCACACATAAAACAACAACAGCTAAAAAAGGAAGAAAAAAAACAGCAATAATGTGATGAACTGATCAGCGAAGACCCAGTAGTCTTGTGCATGCCTTTCCAGCAGGGGGCAATAATGAGTCATGAACATCACACACACACACACGAAGAAAGGCACCGGAATCCTGTGACAGGAAGTTTAATGTATTATTGTTTATTTCAGTGTGTTGTCAGATGTAGTTAACAGCCTTCACTGATCAGAGAAACGGTTGGTGCAGAGGTAAGTAAATTTATCTGTAGTCCGCCTCCTCCGACCACGACCAGGAAGGAGAATAATATCTTAGAAAACCCATGTAAATGAAGAAATAGGGAGTGCGACCAACCACATCACAGCATCATGGGGCCACTGATTTAAATATGGGTGATTGTTTCTGCAGCTTTCTGTCACCATGGCGGAGCCCACAGCCTCTGCAGTGTTCTGCAACAGGATGCTGAGCATGGTGAACTCCGAAGATGTGAACGCAATAATTCAGGCTCAGAGACACATGTAAGTAGCTTTATGCAGGAGTTAGTGGTTTCATTATGTTGGTGTTTTACTACTGTAGGAGCTTTATTTCTTTGTAAATATAGTCTAGCTTTATATATCTAACGGCTAAAGTCTGTTTTAATTAATACCAGTACAATAACTCAATCCCAGTCAAAACGAAGAGAGATTATCTTTGAATATCGACCTTAAAATCCTGCTGCTGATGTGCTTTTTTTATATATATATAAACTGTTGCCTCAGCTGTGAATTTAGTATCCTTTCCAAGATGATGCAAACCTCCTAGCATTCAATTTCAGCCAACTTCAGTGAAATCTGAGCGGCTTTCAATTTTAAGCTGAAGAGCTGCACAGGATGATGCTGCCACCACCGTATTACATCATTGGGATTTTGGATTCAGGGTGAAATCCAGGTAGTTCTCTGCCAGACATTGGGCCTGATATACAAAGGTTCACAATAATAGGTGCTTTGTATGCTATTATATATATATATATATATATATATATATATATATATATATATATATATATATATATATATATTATCATTCATTTATTTTTTTAAAGATACGTGCAATAAGTGTGGATGCAGGTGATTTACAAAGATTGCTGCATAAATATTTGGATGTGCCAAACATTTTGGGTTGGTTGCCTTTTAAATGAACAGATTGT